ACGTATGACCGGCCTTTTTTCCGGATACTTACTAAAGGTGGGAAATAAAAAGCAAGATAGTTATCATAGTGCATATATTATTATTATTAAATAAAAAACGTGAAAAGCTATGAAACAAATATTTATTATTATTATCCTGAGCCCCAATAATCTAAATAATCTAATTAAAACGAATATTCCTGCATCATCAAGTTTCTGATTGCTGCCTGCCTCATAGGTTTAACTGGAACTGGAATCATCGTCACCTGTACAGTTCCACCACAAGCAAAAATTTCGTTTTCAAATTTACGAAGATTTTGCATTCATGTGGAATTATTTTGCCTGAAATGCTTCTTCAGCCAAGTAACTCGCGTTTAAATTTAGGTTTCTCATATAAAAATTAAATCTTTGATAAAGCAATGGCACATAATTTATTGAGATAGAAAACACTTATATTTCGTCCACTATGCGTTGAATTGTTCTTTTGAAAACATCTGACGCAAAGACAAGTTAGATGATAAAAATCATGTTCACATATAAATAATATTACAAAACTATACAATCTGTAGGGCGTAGTGTAAGTTATAAGTGAATTTTATAACCTCAACACAAAGTGAACAATGCATCAAATCAGATTTAATTTGGATGAAAATAGAAATGATGGTGACGGGAGTAGAATTCATTTATTTCTCAATGTTTACTTACCGGCTCGCTTTGCTGTTTGACTGTAAAAGTCGTCAAATTCGTAAAACGACCTTCCCACTTATCTATAATTTTATTTGAATGTATCCGTGGCTAAGAGGTAGAAAGCACGCCTGCTACGCGGGCAGCCCGGGCATGATTCCCAGCAGGGTTTCTTCTTCTTATTTTGTACGGTGGGTGTTTTCCGCAACTTGACACCAGATGCCTTTTTTGTATGATCCCAGTAGGGTTGCACTGGATAATTATCATTGATAATAACATGTACCGGTAAAATGGTCCTACTTTGCTCCAATATTTGCTCCAAAAAAGGGAATTATGAATATTGTTTACACTATTAATTATGATTTATACTCAGATGTATTAATTTAAAGAATATTATGTCATCTAACATGTATTAAATTAAAATCAACGTAATGAAGTATGTTGATAAAACAAAGTTACCACATCGTACCAAAGAAAATATGAGCACGTCAAAAATGTGATGTTCGATTATGACCAACTCAGCAATCCAATGAAAAATTTACGTATTCATTTAGCTGATTATATAATTAATAACATTAAAACATAATTACCTTAATGCATTATGCAGACTTCAAGATGGAAGGAAACAAAAAAATAACTTTTAAGATGAGGAGGTCGCATAGAAAAATTTTACAGTTCAGTGTTTCCGCTTATAAGTAATATGTTTCGGTACGTTTACAGTTAAATGAAATGTTGTACCAATTTGGACATATTGAGCGATAAAACATTTAAGAAAATTGGTGCATATAGTGCTTAATTACCCTAGGAGCAAAGTCGGAACATTTTACGGTACTTATCTTTGATGTTAAGCACACCAACATGAACCAGGCGACAAAACAAACCTAAATACAGTTTCTAACTCAGATAACGAGGATGATTTTCCAGTGACATTACTAGCCAAAAATTTGAATTAAAAATAAATTCTGAAAGGCAGAAGGCAGACAATTGTATAGTATGGATAAGAAAACAAATATTGTATTGATTATATTGATTTTTTTATTTTTTTTTATAATAATTTTATGGCTTGGATGCTGGTCCTTTAAGCCACGTCTTCGTCTTTTCCTGATTCTTTATCTAAATGTTTATTATATTTAGATAAAGAATTTAGATAATGAGAGGAGGGATATACTCAAATACTCTATATGAAAATAAGTCATATTGTACGTGATCAGGAAGGTTGTTAGCCAGGAAAGTAATACTAACAGTTTGTAATGGTACTCTTTCATGGCCAACTTTTTTAATAAATCTACGCACAGCTATTATTTCGTACATCGAGGATAATTTACAGTAAAGTTCTTTATTAGAAATGTTGGCTGGTACATGTCTGATAATTCCAGTTTTTTCAATTTGAGCAGCCGGTATGTACGCTTTCATTTTATATTTATCCAAAAAAGCAGTGTTCATCAGAAAGTTATTTGCAGTATTATACTGCTTAAACACAACTGCAATTTTTATTGCATTGACCCGGTGAATGGCCACCACGCCTTTGATATCAGTGGTAAATATGTGGTTTAAATAAATTGGGCTCTTGTTGCCTAGTCGATCATTGTTATCAGTTTGTACAAATACTTTATACTCAAAATTGGTAGAATTTTCAGGGTAGAGTCTTTTGTAATTTGGTTTAAAATAGGGTAAAAAGTGCGAACTTTCCTCACCGCCGCCGATCGCATCAGTATTTTCGTCCAGTGAATTCATTTTTCTTGGTCTTTTTCCCGCAGATCCCGAACCTGGATTGACCGGGGCCGGGGGGAGCATATCACCCCCGGCCTCGCTGTCTGCCATATTTAATCAACGACAGACAACTTTGTTATTTTGTAATTAAAATTATCTAAGTATAATAAATTAATTACAATAAAATATTTTTTGGAAAATTTTTTCGCACGTTTGCTTGAAATTCCCGCCAAAGAATTCATGATTATATTGATTTTCAATACTATTTTTTTTAATTTTAATAAATGTTAATACATAATGGCAAAAATTACTATCTACGCATTAATTATTTAATCATAGCTGAATAATTATCCGTGAAAATGATAATCTCCCAGCCAGCCACGGCAGGACTTTTTTTATAAATGATATTCACTTTCACTTGTATCATCCTACTAATATTATAAATGTGAAAGTTTGTATGTTTTTACTCAATCACGCCAAAACTAGTTACTGAATGGCTTTGGTATGTTTGTTAGGTAGGTATTTTATGAGCTGGATTGAGAATAGGATACTTTAAATCCTGGAAAAGAGTTAGATTCCTGAAGGATTTTCAAAAATTAAAGATAACGCGAACGAAGTCGCGGGCGGAAGCGAGTGGTTTTTTAAAACTACAGCAATTTTTATTATTGCTAAAACCCCTTCCACACGACACAATTTGATTGCCAATCTGATTGCCGATTGAATTGGGTACAATCTGGTCGTCCGTCTACACATACACAACAAGATCGCCAATTTCAGTTTTATTTGTTGCCTCTGCAGAACGGACTTGTTTGTATTAGGATGCCTCTTACCAAGAAGCAAAAAATTGGATTAATCTTGGCTCTAACTACAAATGTAGATGAGAAAAAAAGAAAAAGAAGACTGTGGACAAAACAATGGTTATTAAAAAGAAAGCAATTTAGTCACTTAAATATAGTTATATTATATTTAAGTGACTCAATTAATAAACTTAAATAAAGTTATACTTAAAGAGTAATATTATTAATAATAAGAGATGGGACTCGAACCCGCACCCTTCGAAAACCCTTTAAAATATAACTGAGCTATATTTTCTTTAGATTTAAACATCAAGCAGTTACATGCTTTAAAAATAATAAAAATTATAACTATAATTGCTATTTCTTCTTTCAAATGTTTAATATAATGCGATTCAAATAAGAATAGGAAAGCCAATGACCTCCATCTGTCAAATGTCGCTTGAAAAGTACGGTTTGCCAAAAAATCTCGAAACACTTTTTAGCACTTAGCTGATTCTAGAATAAAAACCAAACATTTTTAAACAAACAATAACAAATGTTGATTATTAATATTATTTGTTTTTTTTTTCACTTATTGAGTATTGGCTATGAATGGTTGATAACCTAAATCGTCAACCAATTGTCACTTTATGTTGCGTTTAGAAACTCGATTTAAAACTTTCGTTTACATATAGGATGCATGTTCGTATGTGACCTGCATGATTATTCATTTAGAGTAGACTTCTCCGGCGGTAATGCAAAGATGAGCGAAATTGAAGAGTTTGATTCTGATTAATGTTTTTTTTCACACAGTCTTAATAAAGAAATACTATTAAAAATCGGTTGTGTTCTTTCTCAACCTTAGTAAATTAATTTTATTAAAAAATCTCATGTTTTGTCTCACTTTATCTTAGTAAATAAGTTTTATTGAATTGCAAAATTTTTTTGCTCACTCTACCTATTTGGTTTGAATTGACAAGTATGACGTCAAAATATGGCGCCCAGTCGGTCCTGTTGTTAGTTGAATCTCATTAAACTTGTACAAGTATTCATTTGACATTGTGGGTTACCTATAATGCGAAGAGATGGCGCTGCCTTGCAGCTTAAGAATGGCTGGAAGAATTTCGGTCCATGAGGGCCGCGGTAGCATAATTGGTCAGTGCATTCGCCCAGATTGCGAAGAATGCGCGTTCGAGTCCCGTCTGCTGCCTGGTCCGCGTGGAATTTTTTCTAGTTATATTTTCTTTAGATTTTAATATCAAGCAGTTACATGCTTTAAAAATAATAAAAATTATAACAGTAATATTTTTATCAATATTTTTCCACTTATTCCGCAAAATCTCTAAGGAATTATGCCTTGCTTGTTTATTTTTATATAATGGGTTAGACACATCCCAAAGGCATGGCAAGTCTTATCATATCGTTTACATATATCTAAAATCTCCTCCATTACTTCCCGTTCAGATCGAATAGACATAATATTGTCGTCATGTTGCTCCATCTTCTTCTCAAAAGACAAGTCAACACCCGCTCTGAACGCCGCTTGCACAGTGACTACGTTAAAAAATTGGCCAGTTAGCGTCCACACCACCCAATTTGATTGGGCAATCCCGAATCGGGCGATACCGACCGTCCATTGACCTTCAATTTCATATTTCCGTCCACACAACACAATTCGATTGTCAATCTAATCAAATTGGACGTAAAATTGTATCGTGTGGAAGCCGTATAAGATATATTATTGATATTCTTGGACATAGACCATAGACATAGACTATTAGTTTGTCATTCATTCACAAACTCACACTCACTCTATTGAGCACACATCAAAATATCTCGTTCATTCTTCACAGACTAGAGCATATTAATTTTAAGTTCACAGCTTGCAGTTTGCACTTAATTTTAAAAGAATTTTGAATGGGTTAATTTAATTGGCATTTAAAATTTACCAAAATGAATTCAGTGCTAAATCCAGAAGCTCCAGAGTTTTATCCTCATTTGACTTCAGTAACGCAGGTTAGTACAGCTTGTAAATAGAACGTACATGACAACAATCAACAATAGAACTAAAATAATTTCACCAACAAAGTTGTTACCCATTATCGGTATCGATTTCAATAAGCTAATAACAAGATTTTGGGATTTGAAGTCGATTCGAGGAATGGGCCTAATAAATAATATAATATATAACCTATAAATTCAGTGCGCATTGTAAGTACGTAGTAATGGACAGGATGGTTTTATTATCCTATCTTGTATAAGGAAGCTAATGGCATGCTTGTCATATATTCTATTCAAAGTTCCTTTTCATCAATAAAGGAATATACTGTGAACTACTCTGCCAATCAGTACCATTTCATTGAAAGCAAAATTTTACAAGGACTGTGTCAATTAGAACAGGGGTGCTCAAACTTGAACTGCTGGCGATCTACCTGAAAATTTTTAGACTACTTACGATCGACTCTTGAGGCTGAAAGTATGTGTGATGCAGGGTTGTCGTACATATACGATACACCCCACCTACCTACCTACCTAGGTAGGGTGTACTGTAGCATATATAAATATTAGCAGTCGATCGCGATCGACCGTTTGAGCACCCCTGAATTAAAACTTTTTATATTTTGTACTTCTATGAATAAAACCTGTTGGCAAATTTGTTCCTTTGCTAAACTCATTTTTAGTAATTGATAAATATTCAATTCCATTAGATGTTAAAAGCATCCTTAAATACACCTTTATGTCATTTCAATAAGCTTATCTCGGTATTAAAAATAGTTTATTTTTATTTTTACTATAATGTAGAAATTACAGTATCTTATAAAATGGAAAAAAAAACATTTCTGTGTCTTCGCATAGGGCAAGTGGTCTTGTTCTGCTTGTGAATGGCCTTCAGACTTAACATTAAGGAATCATTAGGCATCACAATAAATATATAATTTATATTCTAAGAATATAAATCTTCATATTGACGGGGTAATCATTCAGCAAGTAAATAAAGCAAAGAGCCTGGGTTTGACTCTGGAAAGTCAACTTAACTTTGAGGGCCATATTGTGGAGTGCGCACGCAGTAGCTTTTACAGATTAAAGCTGCTCTACAGGATTCGACCATATTTATCTGAGAAACTTAGAATGGCGCTGTGCGAGGCATTGGTTTTATCAAAATTCAATTATTGCGACACTGTTTATGGTCCGTGTTTGCTGGGCAGATCATCACGGCTTATCCAGCGAGTACAAAACGCGTGCGCGCGTTTTTGTTTCCACATTCCACCACGAACCCATGTTATCCCTTTCTTGAATTTAGCTAACATACTGAAGATGGAGGGCAGTAGGTGTGCACACCTCGCAACATTGATGTTTGGTATTGTACATACGGGAAAGCCTCAATATCTATCGTCTAAATTGGCATGGGCACAGCTTTATAGTAAGCATCAAAAGAGGTTATGCACTCGAGTTTTCTCCACACCTTCACATCGCACTGCAGCTTTTCGCGGGTCATTCAGATTTGCTGCCTCAAAGTGTTGGAACGACATTCCTCCTCCTATACGTAACCTACAATCGAAGCAAATGTTTAAAGTTAAATTAAAATGCCACTTAATGACATTGCAATGCATGTAAAAACTTTGTTTCCCTGTGCAATCAATTTGCAGAGATGGTCTTCTGAACCAGGTGGTACATGATCCCTGCTGTTATTGTTTGGAAACGAGTGACGCACATACACACGTAGAGAAATTTAACACCAGCGTTTTAGACACAATTGTGATGAATATGAATTTTTAATTATTGATTTATATCAAAGATATTCGAGGGTAAAAATGTATCCTTGTCAGTCTCTTTACAGAATGAAAAGGAGTGACTGATATTACGAGTAGGTTTCGGTTTGAGATTGGAGAACTGTGCAGCGTGTCATATATATAGCGCACCTTACAGGCCCTGCCAGAATACCAGCGCTGTTGTCACTCGCATAGTAACGTGTGGCAACAGCATCATGCTGAGGCAGGGTCCTGATTAACCATTAATTTACTTTTATAGTTTTAAGTTAGTTTTTTATTTTTGTTTTTTATGATAATGTTTATGTGTTTTTTCATTGTTCTTGTAATACTCGTAACAAATGGTTAATAAAAACTCTCTCTCTCTCTCTCTCTCTCATATTAAGGTTGTAATTATAAAATCATTAATCATGTTACAACTATGATTACATTGCCACATATTAAGTCTAAAGGATTTCACTTGATTGGCAAGTTACACAATACCTGTATTGTTTTATCAATTTGAATGAAGACATTTTTTACTTTGTCATTTACTATCAAATATTTAACAAAAATTTTCTAAATTATCACACAAGGTTCTTTGTGGAAAAAAGAACACTATCGTGTGTATTATCAGAACTGGTTGTTCATACACCAAAAAGATTTAATGCTCTAAATTTTATAATGTATTCTAGGTTCTACAATTTTGTTCATATATCCCTTTGTCTACTTAGCTAATTCATTAAAACTTTAATATTTTTTTGAAAAGTATCTCTTTTATTTATACTAGATTTTCTGATTGACTGTGACCTAAATAACAACAACCAGTTAAAACAGCAGTGTAATCAAAATTACTCATATTGAGAGCGGACATAAACTGAGAGACATTTGAGAAATAGGTATTTGGAAAAACTATAACTGTTGCGCATTGGCAAATACTAAGCGATAGGTATAACAGAAGCTTTTTGAAAAATGCGTAATAATTGCAAAATTCGAGGTATGGCCCTTGACAATTTTCTCCTCAAAAATTAGATATATGTATAAGAAATTTTACTTGTACAATAATAAGTAGTTCATTAACAGTGATATACCTCTATTTTGGTTTCAATTAATAAGTAAGGAGTATAAATTTACTCTATTTTTAAGTCAAGTCAGTAAAGTTTTCGAGGGCTTCTAGTTACTTTGAAACACCAGTTTACAAAAACTTTGATTGGAAAAAACATTGCCCGTCTCCACTCTTAAAGCAATCGTAATTTAAATTAGAAAATAAGCTTTAAAAAACATACATTTCCTCATGTGAAATTTGTTTATCCTTTTGCTTTTCAACTTTTCCACCATCAATTAATTTTGGATTAGTTGAAAAGTCTCATTCACACTAAAATATTAATGAACTGTTTTGTTAAATATGAAGAAAAGTGAGCATACAAAGAGTTTACTTACAAAAATATCCTGTTTCATGCCTATAAAGTATATTCAATTCACTTTCAATTTTCGTTTACCTACAGAGTGGTTACACAAAAGTAAATAAGTCAATAAGAGCATCAAATCAGCTACCAACTGGAGCTTCACACGATTTCTTCAGAACCTTGATTGACTTTAACATAGTGACACGCCAGCTCGGTGAAAATGTTATTGTACAGTCTAACCAGATACTGGCCATCGAGTTGCCAGCTGTGAAGTTGAAATGGTAAGTTGATAATTATAAATTGTTAATGTGATTTAATTTTGTGAACTTTAATTTAGTTTAGTGGAGCTGCCATCTGGGAAAATTCACAACAACAAAGCACATTAAAAAAACACTTCCTACAAAATCACTGTTCATACTGAATTTTACAAAACAATCTTTTTAAGTAAAGGTGAACAACCATTTTGGTACTGATTTTGTACAAACATAATTTTATGACATTATTGTAAGCATTAAAAATTTAGTGATATAAGATAAAAAGTTTTTTTAGCTAGTGGCGAAACTATAAATAGTATAAAACTTTAAAAATATAATGGAACGTAGCGCTTTGCTTAAAAAGGAACATACTTTGTGATTAAATTCGAAACAATTGATTCAAATAATCATGGAGTTGAATGTTTTATTAAAGTACTATTTACATTTCTCAAATAACTAATGTTTTTAAAATTAATAAATGAAAAGAAAACATTCACATAATAATTGTTTTTTTTTAACTCCAAATGTCAGATAGGATATTATATTATTAATAAAATATAACAGCTGTTACCTATTCGATTTTTTAGGGTTCCATACCTCAAAAGGAAAAAACGGAACCCTTATATCATCACTTTGTTGTCCGGCAGTCCATTCGTCCGTCAGTCAAGACCGTTTTTCTCAGGAACGCGTGGAGGTATCCAACTGAAATTCATATCTAATACTCAGGCACCTTGTAATGACAATGTCTGCCAGTGGTCTGCAATTATGACATTGGCAATTGCAATTGTCATTTTGTTTTCAATGCACAAAAAACAACATACTCATGTTGTTTTTTGTGTTTTACCTGTCTTCTTTGACTTTGTGATATGTGCTATTTTTCTAGGAATTCGTTTAAGACGACACTTTTTTGTTATATGGACTCTGTTACAAACAATGGCTAAACTCTGTTACTATGTTCATATTTAAAAATTTATGGTTAATAAATAATAATAAGGTATTAATTTGGCATTGTGGGTTACCTACAATGCGAAGCAATGGCGCAAAGCTAGGGAAATTCGACACGGCCATCAGGGCCGCGGTAGAATAATGGTCAGTGCATTCGCCCGGATAGCGGAAGGTGCGGGTTCGAGTCCCGTCTGCTGTCTGGTCCGCGTTTTTGTAGTATAATTTTCTTTAGATTTAAACATCTATCAGTCAAATTCTTAAAAATAAAATATATAAAGTAGGAGAAGTAGGGTTATCTGTCAACATAGCGTACTTGCTTTTATTGAATATTTTGACTGCTATGTCTTTGTAGACATTTAGTTGTTCCAAATTAGTTAAACAATTATGTTTATTGTGTAGATTACACCAGAAAATCCCTCTTTATACTTAAAAATATTCCTAGTCAAATTCAAATTGAAATATTTCATTAACTTAAGTAGCAATCGAATTGACTTAAAGACTGGCAGTATACATGAACAATAAGCTTTTCAACGGAATATATTTTGCTCCTGTACAAAGAACTTTATATCTGTACCAACCCCCATACAAAGTGTTGATGGTAGTGATTGTTCCCCTTTCTTAACATTTAGAGCTCTAATTTATGCTGAAAATAAAAATATTAACAGTGTTTATGAAACAAATACAATATGCAAATTTTATATCTATATAAGATGACAAGCTGAAAATACTTTTTTCATTTGCAAGGCAGCTGGATAATGTATCAGCTGTGCCCTTGTACAAGTTAGGTATTCATTAGGTCTTGTAACGGTCTTTGTATGTATAAATTTTATAAATATACCGAATTGGTTGCAGCTTTGACAACGAAAACAACATGGATAAGATAGTTGACGCCAACGACAGCTTGCTGGATCGCGTGAACGTTAACATCGACGCCGTGAACGGTGTGAACAGGCCGAGCGAGCGCTTCCTGGACGGCATGCGGCCACAGGTGGCTTCGTGGAACCACGCCCCCGTCATAGCCAAGATACAGGTGCAGTAATTTGTGCTACTCTCTGAATAAAACGCAATAAACATGGACTACATCTAATATATAAAATTCTCGTGTCACGGTGTGCGTAATTGAACTACTCCGAAACGGCTCGACCGATTTTCGTGAAATTTTATATGCATATTCAGTAGTTCTGAGAATCGGACATTATATCCCCCTAAATGTTAAGGGTGATCCAACCTTAAATATTTTTTTGGACAATTTTTTTTTAAATACATACAACCCTAAATTTTCAGCCTTCTACCACCAACCCCTATTTTTTTATGGCGATACGAAGTTCGCTGGGGCAGATAGTTTTAATATAAATAAGTTATTTTTTTAAATTAGGCTTTACTAGGTTATGAAAATTTGATTAAGAAGCCCAATTATTTTTTGCGGTAACCTTTAAATATCTTAATTTGACCTTCTTATTTACATTAAAATTTCGTTTATCAAATAAAATCTATATCTTGTTCCTAATAATTTGACTTTGGCGTATCAAATGTTATGATTTTTTGTGAGTTTTATTGTAGGGTAGGAACAATATATGTCCTTGTGCTTCAATCAGTAGGAGTGCCTAGTAAGAGCAGGAATGGGCTTGGTAATATTCACATTGCAGACGTATCACAAAGGACAAGACGAAAACAAGCAGAGGTAGCTGGAATCAAAGCGTCAATTCTATCAAGGAACATAGGCATTCTAGCACAGTTTCAAGCAGTTGAAGTCTTGTCAAAATGAAAAGCGGTTATAGGTAAACCGCTTAACTGAGACCTCGCCTGAGGGGTACAGGGTGTGGGGGTGGGCGAGAACGGTGACCGTGAGAGGTGCGGGCGGCGGGCACTTGTAATTGACAAGAATATGCTCGCCGCTCGCACCTCTCACGGTCCCCATTTTCGTTCTCCCTACACCCTTTACCCCGCAGGCTAGGACTCAGTTAAGCAGGCTACCTATAGTTTAGGTAAAAAAAAATCTAGGATGGCTTACTGGCTACTTTCTTTTTTGTAGTATGTAGGTACTCGCAATACCGTAGTTCAGGAGGTACATTTGCTTTGATTTTGGTATCACCCGCTGAGTTGAAGTTTTACCGTTTCAAATAGATGGGCGAGACAGTGTTCATAGGCGCAAAGAACATTCCGCGGCCGCAGCTTAGCTTCAAGGACGCCGTGGACAACTCTGACAGCCTGTGGGTGCCGCGCATCTCCGACAAACCGAACAATATCAAACCTCTCGCGCTCAGCATACTCTACAACGATGAAGGCGAAGCGGTTGGGTAAGTTGGGTATATTCTGTGAATTTTTCAAGCATCTCCATGTCACACACAAAAAACGCCTTTTAGTTTGGGACCCCCTTAATATTTATTTTATTTTGTTTTTAGTATTAATGTTGTTATAGCGGCAACAGAAATACATACATATAATACATTCATGAGATATAGCCTGGTGACAGACAGACCGACAGTAGGTCTTAGTAATATGGTCCCGTCTTTGCCCTTTGGGTACAGAATCCTAAAAAAATAGTAGCTTGATGATGAAGCGTTCTCTCCAATTTGTCAGGTACGAACACCCCTACAAAGTGGAGCTGGAGTTGTACCGTCCACCTAACCGATTCCTGGACTCTAGTCCGGAGCCGTCCTTCCCACCGCCCTTGGAGGATACCCCTCTCACCATAGTGGATACGGCCCCAGCCCTGGACGGCCTGATGGAACACCTGGCCACCGTCCACGAACTAGCTGTGGATTTGGAACACCATTCGTATAGAACTTACCAAGGTGAGTTCCACTGAGTGAAAAGTAGATCTTTCTTTAACTTTATTTTAGACTAGCTTTTGCCCGCGGCTTCGCTCGCTGTTTTTTTAGTGTTTTCCCGGCAATTATTCGAATTTTTCTCACCTTTTAAACCTTCCCTAGACCTCCACGAACATTTCAAGACCAAGATAAGATAAATCCGTTTAGCCGTTCTCGAGTTTTAGCGCTACTAACGAACAGCAATTGATTTTTCTATATATAGACTAGCTGACCCAGTGAACTTCGTACCGCCATAAAAGTAGGGAATGGTGGTAAATTTAGGGTTGTATAATCATAATCAAAATCATTTATTCAGTTTAGGCTGCTACAAGCACATATGAATGTCTAGAAGCTACGCCATCGGATCGTAAATCTACGGCGGGAGACCTTGTACTGAGAAGAACCGGCAAGAAACTCAGCAAGGGCTGTTTTTATCTCCCTGTTTTATCACTTACAGAGTCGTCAAGTTGAAAAATGACTTCAGAGATGATTCATGAAGTCACATTTCATTACATAATGTGAAATTAATTGTTCACCTGCATTTTGATTGCTGTGTCACACAGTATAAATACATTACAGTATGTATTTTTTAGTGCCACATTAAAGAAAAAAAAATGTAAAAAATAAAAATGTTAGGGGTGGATAACCCCTATCACTTAGGGGTATGAAAAATAGATAGTAGCCGATTCTCAGGCCTACTAATTATGCATATAAAATTTCATAAAAATCAGTCAAGGCGTTTGGAGGAGTATGGTAACTAACATTGTGACACAAGATTTTTTTATATAAGATAGTAACTACATTTCAAAAGACTGACCAAAAAAATCAAAAGAAATACACATAATCCTAAGTTATGTTAAGAGAGTGTTTATTTGCTTGTTACGCTTTTAAACCTAAACCACTAAATACATTATACTTAGTTTTGGTATAGAGATGAGTAGGATCTAATTTCTCATTCATATATTACTTCACAGCTATTCCTCTTTGATTGGGTAACTTGACGGATAGTTTTTTTCAAATTCAAATTCAAACTCATTTATTCAGTCTAGGCTGTTACAAGCTCTTGTGAAAGTCAAACGCTACGCCATCGGTTCGTAAATCTACGGCGGGAGACCTTGTACTGAGAAGAACCGGCAAGAAACTCAGCTAGGGCTATTTTTTTCTCCCTGTTTTGTTTCACACAGTGTCGTCAATTGAAAGATGACATCAAAAATTAAATACATGTGTTGATGTCAACTTCCATCACATTAATATTATTAATTAACAAAAGTTAAGTATAACTAGGTACTATTTTTAAATTTAGAAGTGGCGATTAAACAATTTTCAACCAAATTAGCAAAGTAAAACGACAGTCTATTATGTTAAGCCCAAGGTGACTTATCATTTATGAAATCTTTTACAGTATAGTAACCTTTCTTAAGGAGACATGTTTTTATACACACTTTAAACTTATTAAAAGGTAAATTAATTATTTCTTTTGGTATTTTATTATAGTAACATATACCTTGACCCACAAATGAACCAAGAACCTTTTGGAGTCTCAATGGTGGCAATTTGAGTTTATCTTTATTTCTGGTATTGAAATTATGTACATCATCGCGCCTCGTATATAAATTTATGTTCTGACGCACAAACAATATACAATTGTAAATGTATTGAGAGGCAACAGTCATTATACCTATTTCTTTAAATTTATCCCTAAGAGAAGTTCGAGATCCCAAGCGGTAAATAGCTATACGAGTTAGTAGGTAGTTTATACGAGACTCATAAAATCGACTCTTACAGTAAAATTAAAGACAATGTTTTATTTATGTTTAAATATCAGTGAGTATAGAAATTGTTTGAATTGCGGACCACAGGTGTTTATCACAAAAACGTGTATATTATCTTATCAAATAGACTCAAGGCAATGTCCGGCGTCTTTACGACACAAATTCAATAAAGGAGAATGGGCAAAATGTATGGACATTGGGCTCGGAAGCGGCCACTTCAAAAACACTATTTTTAAGACTCATTATGATAAGACAAACAATACTTAGTATGGACAAAAAGGCCTATATTATCGGTAAAAAAAGTTATGACATATTGATGACGTAAACAATAGAAGTAATAAATTATTCAACAAGCGTTCCATTGTTGACTAAAATATTACCTACCAGGTCTTTTCATTATTCCCTTTATGCAGATGCCGCCTCGCCGCTACGTTTTTACCTGAACCCTTTCCTCTCATGCACGCGCGCACCCACAAGGGTAGGCGTGCAAAATGTATAAACATTGGGCTCGGAAGCGGCCACATCAAAAACACAATTTTTAAGACTCATTATGATAAGATAAACAATACTTAGCATGGGCAAAGCCATATATTAATGGTAAAAAAGTTATGACATCACATTTATGACCTAAACAATAGAAGTAATAAATCATTCAACAAGCGTTCCATTTTTGACTAAAACATTACCTGTTAGTCTTTTCATTATTCCCTTTATATAGACGCCGCCGCTACGTTTTAACCTCAACCCCCTTTCCCCTCATGCGCCCGCGCACCCACAGGGGTGGAGGCGTTGTTGTATTCGGGTAGTTGTTTGTGGACTTGCTTCGGGTTCAGCTGTGTTCTGTGCTTCCCTATTGCTGTTTCTTTTACGACTTTAGATTACTTTTACCGGACTATCGATTTTCCTATGTGATTTGGATTGGCGTGTACTTGGCTAACGACTAGGAGTGAACTTTGACTCTGTGTTTTACTCCAGTGGAAGAGAAGAACTGAAATGGAGACTTGTATAACATGTCACGTTTCCATTCGAAACAGAAGGCGTTACTCTATCTCTCAAGATGTTCTTGCGGCCAATCCATTTTTGATCGATTACATTGGTGATCGTGTGGTTTCTAATCATGTATTTGGAAACGGAACTACTTACATCTGTCGTGTTTGCTGGCAAAGAGCTGAACGTGCCCAATCAAGAAACCAACTTCAAGAACCGATTCCTGACCAAATCCCCAGAGCCGATGATGCCAATCATATATCAATACCAAACTTTAAACGTGTGCCAAATACTACTTCTCATTGTTTATTCCCGGGATGTGGATCAGAAGTGCGCAAAAGAATTCCTCAACGTATCAAAACAAAAGTATTTTATGATCACAATATATACATACCCATCAATGCCAAGAACATTTACAATCTAATTGGGAAGTACTAATTGATTCGCCTACTCTAATAAACTATTTCACCGTTAACAAGTCGCAGATGTATTTGAGATGGTTAAACGTGCTTCCCAAGAAACAGCTTATTTCAATTTTGAAAACATTAATGACAATGATGCAGATGAGTTCTTCTATTGCACTGGAGTGACACCGGGGCAATTTCAACAAATATTAGAAGAAACACCATTATTAAATCAAACGTGTAAAAGACCAAAAGTTGCTCTCTGCATCTACCTCAGCAAATTGAGAACTGGGGAATCAAATCTGAGATTATCTAATCTTTTTTGTATTTCTCGACGCACTTTAGAACGCTCCCTTAAACAAGCAAGAGAATGTTTGTCCAATAATTTTGTAACGCGTCACCTGGGTATTGACCATGTCACGAGAGAAGAACTACAAAGGAGAAACCTTTTAAAACCCAACAACATTTTTGGGAATCCGGGATCTACAGAAAATAGGAAATTAATTTTTATATTTGACGGCACATATATTTACATTCAAAAAAGTTCTAATTTTTCATTCCAACGCCTTACATATAGTTTACCTTACACAAATTCCAAAACCTGTTAAAACCATTTATCATCACATGTAGTGATGGATACATAATGGACGTAGTCGGACCTTTTGCTGCAACAACTTCAGATACAGCTGTTATGACCCAATTAATGTCAGAAGATTCGGCGTTTCATTGGTTTTTTAAATCTGGGGATGTATTTATCTCGGACAGGGGATTTCGGGATTCATTGCCAAATATAGAATCTCGTGGTTATGAAGCTCACATGCCACCCAACCAACTCTCAACTACCCAAGCTTCACTGTTGCTGTGTTCACGTTATGTCAATTGTGTGGTACCTAGGGTGGGCACGGCACCAAGGAGCTCTAAATCTTACAGCACCATTTTTGGATGAAGTAATAATAAACGAAATAAATGAGTTTTAAAAATATTTAAGTTTTATTTAATATCCTGTCTCTCTCTCTCTCTACATAGAAACTGTGCTTACTGTTTTGATTCACTGTATTAGAGTTTGAAAACCATTTTAAAACATGATTATGCTATTTTTGGGTAACCAATGTAAAGAATATAGGCCACGCGAACATAGTGTAATATTAAAAAATAAAAGTTTGTTGTGAAAATTACTTTAAATGGATAGGTCGAAATTAATGAAAAAAGAATACTCGGGCGCCAGACCTACCACCTTATTATACCATATTAGCCGGGAAAGCATTGAACTATTAATCGCAAAAGGGGAATTAATGCAAATCCATTCTCATTTTGGGTTGTCTATATATTGAAATTTAGTACAAAACTACTGGTCCGAAAGAATTACTGCTAAATTTTGAAACTAAGACTAAGATGTAAGTGAAAATGTTACCTTTAATATGGGGGCCGAAACACAATTATAAATTTAGGAAATTACCGACCTTGTTGCATCTTTGGAGTTAAAATATGTCTGGTTTTGCAAGTATGTAGGGGATGGCCGTTTTTAGGTCCCGTGGGTTCACCTCCACCTCACGGGAAACATCGTGATTTGAATACGATTTCCAAATAAAATTTCAAATATAAAAAAAAACGCTTTTCGCGTTTTTCAATTAAATTAAGCTTCAAACATGGTCAACGCCATTTTGTATAGATGAGGTAAAATGTTTCATCATCAAAAACAATCGAAAATCCAATGGATTATCAACTTAAATAATGAGATTAATTATCCTGCATGTTGTATGTTAAAATTTTGGTCGTGAAGTGAAGTGACAGTTCTTTTCTTAAGTTTGTCTTGGCGGTAGGC